TTATTCCGTCTCTTATGCTCTTAGGGGACAATTTTTATGACATCCCAGGGGCTGTTTACAGGGCATCCCACGGCAAAGCATGCTAAAGTTCCCCGCACTCCAGGGTTTGGGCTGCTGCAGTTCGGATGCCGTGCGCGGGTATTACCCTTGCCACTCCCATCGTCCGGCCTAATCTTTCCTAAATTACTACACAAGTTCTGCCATGGTCATTCTATCCACAAATCATTGTGGTTCAAGATCTTGTCGCAGAGCAGAGCACTCATCTCATCCAATCCGCAATAAAGTGTCAGCTTCACTTTTTGAAGTTATGGACCCGCAGCAGGAAAATGACGCGTCCGCGCCCGTCGTCAAAAGGCGGCGGAACCCACGGGCAGTCCTCGCATGCGAGAGGTGTCGCTCCAAAAAGTACAAGTGCTCCGAAGCACAACCATGCAGTCACTGCAAACGTATGTTATCGACTGGTTTAGATTGCAATGTTATCTGACAGTTCGTTTGTGTAGGTAGTGGAGCTGAATGCAAGTATGGTAGAGGCTATCGAGTGGTAAATGACCAGGCATCGCTAGTAAGGTACGTGATTGACCCTCTCGTCGACTATGAGCTGTATGCTAAGGGCAAGTCGAAGTGATGCCAGCAATGAGCCTGGACAACCCAACCCCCAAGCTCAACCCAGCGAACTAAGTCATACACCCATCTCCCAAACTCCTATACCAGATCTAGTTGGACTTCAATCTCCAGTCTCAACTAGAACCCGGCTGCCACCAACGTCAATTAGTGACGAACCACACGCTCTAGGAGTTTCACCTAGTGAGGAGAGTGAGATTGCCGAGGTCAATCAGCATACGAACGGCATCGAATACCATGGCAACACTTCTTCAATGTCTTTCTTAGGCAGCCTGCAAAAACTTCGAGAGCAACGCGCGACTCAATCGAATCCAGCGGAACGCAAAGCATTCTCACTTGTGTCGGTATTGCATAATCCGAGTTTCGTTTCAAGGCGGAATTTCACCTCCGACCTGACAGCTGCTCTCGCCGCAAACGGATTCTATTCGAAGCGTGCCAATACATTCATCGAGGGTTATTTTGGGGGAATTCACTATGTTCACCCAATAATCGAAAAGGAAGATTTCTTGTCCCGTGCCGATCTACTCTGGCGTGGCACCGACTGTAGTGACGCTCACTTCGTCGCACTTTATTTGACTGTTCTGTCTTTGGGTGCCTTGACTCGGACTTGGAACGAAACTACATTGGATGGCCTGAACCGCTTTCAATGGAGTCGGAAACTGTTTGCTGAAGCCCAAACTATTCTGGACGAAATCCAGTTCAGCAGTAAAATAGAGACCATACAGGCTTTCTACGTTATGGTAAGTAAATATGTGTACATTGCGGATAAAGAGAGCTGACCTGTGTTTTGTGTCTAGGCAAAAGTATGCCAGAACGAACTCAACCCAAATCGTGAGTGCAGAGATCCTTTCACGACCCACCATGAATAATGAGCTGGGCAACGCGCTGACTACATATGCAGTCGCTTACATGTACCTGGGCTGGGCAATACGTTCCTGTCTAGCCACGGGCATGAATCGTGAAACACCCAATGCAAATACAAAGACTTGTATGAGTATGTCGAGAATATGGTGGTTAGTAAAACCAATTCTTTCGCTAATATCTTCGACTTGTGCTGACACAATAGTTAATACAGGGGCATCTACTCGTTAGAAATGTCCGTACCTTTCTTCCACTCCCCGGAGGCTACTTGATCACGAGCTAACCGATCATTAGTGAGATGAGTTTTCTCCTCGGTCGACCTGACACACTGGGGCAAGACGAGTACCATAACCGTGTGATGACCCCCGTCGATGATTCTGAGTACGCCATCATCTCTTCAATGGTACAATTCGGTCGTATTATGCGCAAAGTGTCCATCGGAATCTACCACTCCCAGCTGCCAACTCCAGAGACTATTGGTCTAGCGTGTGAGATAGAGCACGAAATGGATAGTTGGGTCGATGCTCTACCTCAACGACGAGGTGCCTCTTTGAGAGAACCTGATTGGCGACGGAAGCAAAGACTTGTTCTCGAACTACGTGAGCAATAGCCTTGCACTCACTCCTCAATCTGACTAAACCATCATAGGATATCATAATGTAAGGATGCTTCTCTTCCGGCCATTTGTGACCTATTACGCACGAGAGCGACTCCAACCATCTGATGAGTTGATGGCGGCGGTCGAGAAATGCATATCCTCGGCCCAGAAGACCATCGAGATCGTCTATGAAGCTTATAAGGTTCACACCTACTTTCGAACATGGTAGGCCTTTCTTTCATCAGTTATAAAAGGTGCAGGTGCTTACACAAGAGTGACAGGTGGTACAACACAACATACATTACCATTGCAGCTTCAGTGCTCCTCCTTTACGAGTCGCAAACAAAGCAACGTTCGACCACAAGCACGCTTGCCTTAATAGAGACGGCCATCGAGATCCTGGAGGTCATGGATGAGTCTATTGTCGCTCGAAATGCTGCAGAGGTTATTCGACGCTTTGTGCGAGAGCTCAATACCGTCCCCAACGGAGGCTCGGATGACTCTATGCTAGACGCTACGGCAATAGAAAACGTCCAACAGGCCCCTACACCCGGTTCATGGAATCCTTTAGATGTGAGTCACTGTAAATATCAGGTCGAACTATCTTACTGAAACTCATTTAGTTTGGGTTGACCGGCTTTGAATTCTTGAATTTTCCACTTGGGGAGATGGAAGCTGTCTTTGATGAACTGTACAGGAACCTTGATCACAACGCTCAACTTGAGTAAGCATGTCCACAAGGCTACTCTGTATACTGGCTCTATATCATGTTCCAGGTAATTCTCATGGCGTTTGTCTCCACATAAACCCTTGTTCCCGTCCAGGTATCAGTGGCCGTAGCGCCATACCGTAATCACCTGCATTTGGGGTGCGCAGGAGAGTATGGATATGGAACTTGGCTGGCTCACTGTTGGCGAGAAAGACACCAGAATGGTGGTCAAATTCAGCTATCACTACCGGGCTCTGAAGCCGATAGTAAAATGGGGCTTGATCATTGAATCCTCCGATCCAGCAGAAATATGTTTCATGAAACCAATGACGAATGTTACCAAGTCTGATTGCGCGGGCTTTGTCAGGAAGATAAAGGAGGTACTGCTCGAATATCTGTTCCACAATGGATTTCTGTGCGTCGTCCATATTACAAACTTCAATTCCTTCGTAGGGGACAACGCGATTGTCTCTGTATGCACCGCAGAGGTGTCTCTGGTCGTCGTGATTCCATCGTCCCTCAGGCATCGCCTTATCGTGCATATCCTTGTAGATCTGGGCCCGGTTTTGTTGTGCGGCGTTGAAACTTTGCATTAGTTGCAAGCCTAGCCTTTCTTCGACGTCCAGAATTCTCGTTCCTTTGTGAGGTCCATCGTCGATTAAATTTGGCTCTGCCCCTGTGAACCAAGGCGATATTACCATCTGAGTCTTGTATAGGAAGACGTTAAGACAGAGATGGTGTCCATAAAACGAGAAGCCCCATGGTTGATTTGTTAGAGGCCTTCCAAAGAGCACGAAGTTGTAGGAGAATTCGTTCATTATCGTACGGGACTCGACTAGGTCGCCAAGGAAGCCGTTAATGCGCATTGCGGCGACTGCCTTTTCGTACCCTTGGGCAGACAAGGTTGCTTTCAAAAGCTCCATCACACGATCACGAAGGGTTTTACTGATTTCATCCAATCGAATACCTTTATCACTGAATATGAATTCCGGATTTGACCATGTTCGCCACTCAGGTGAATCAATGTGGTGAATCATTCGCGAAATCTGCTCTTTGGTGGATGCCTCGATGACAGCGTTGGCCGCATTTGTTATATCGAGAATAGGAACTTCTTCATCTTGCAGGCTGAAGAGTCCAGGTTGAACATGCCCTATCGTCTGTTAAGATCATTGGAACGTCCATTGCGTTGTATCGCTGATGCTTACCGTCGTTGGTGATTCCTTTGAATGGCTCCTCTAGTAGACTCATCCAATGTTTATATAGTCCATGGAGCCAAGGAGGGTTTCCATCATCGAGAAAGGCTTGTGCGTATGCGCGTGCATTCTGATTTTTCATGGTATTGAACCTCGACGTAGTGAGGTCCGGGAGGAATTGGCGGTAGGCCGCTGCATCGTTGCCATCTTGTGATGTCATGAGTGCCTGGAAAGGAAATATCTAACTTGAGATGGGCACTGGACAATGCTTCAACCAAACGTAAATTTATCGCTTAATAGGACTATGGTTGAACGCATCGACTTGAGAGATGGCAGCAACCCCAAAATCGAGTCCAGGACGATTATGTACTCACTAGTGCCATTCGAGATTGTGGTCTTGATTGACTACCCAAGTGGTATGCTTGCTGTGGTGGAGCAAGAACTATCGGGCCGAACTCCGGCAATTCCAAGGCCGACATGTTGCTTCCGAGTCGGTGGGGGGCGCCGAGTTCGGAATCAAAGCGGCCTCTCGACTTCAGTGCGGCAAGATTAGGGCAAGGAAAGCATGGGAACAAGAGGGTATCACTAGATGAGAGTATGGCTGAATGAGATTTATCCTTCCAGAGGAAACAGATTGATTGCCTCTATATCAAGCTGCAGCCTTCTGTTGGTGTATCAGCCTGTATCCTTTCAGTCATACTTATTCAAATAAACCTACTATGGCATCGCCCCGATTCTCACGTATGTGTTGTTTCACGCGGGCATCAAATCATACTAAAACTGTTCACAGGTCTGGTGCGCTTTGTTCCGATCTCAGACCCTACCAACGTTCTCATTGGCCAACCGCAAAAAGATGATATCGACGTTGGCATGGCGCTCTACCAGAACCATGAGGTAAAGGTATACGTCTTCTCCGGTCGTTCTGTCTTGGACCCGGGGCAAGAGACGGGAGATACGGCGATTGTCAGCCGTCTTCTTTCACCCTTGGCCAGCAGTGAGGTCGGCACAATCCGTTGTATCGGGCTCAACGTGAGATAAGTCTTTACCATCACCAGTGTGCGCCTGACTAACTCGATAAAGTATAAGAATCATGCTGCCGAAGTTGGCTTAGATCTACCCACCATTCCCACTGTTTTTCTGTCAGTATAGTTGATGACGAGCACATATTGACAGCAAACTACCTGATACTATAAGAAAACCCAGTACCTCGATTGGGGACCCTTGGCCTTCTGTCACTCCTTTACCCAGACTGACACAGGTGGATGACTGCGGCGACTACGAAGCCGAGCTAGCAGTGGTTATAGGCAAGTCAGCCAAGAATGTATCCAAGGATGAAGCAATGGATTACATCCTGGGCTATACGGCAGCCAACGATGTATCCAGCCGCACCAGCCAGTTCGCTCAGTCCCAATGGTGTTTCTCTAAAGGCTTTGATGGATCATGTCCACTAGGACCAGTTCTGATCTCTAAAGAGATTATGCCCGATCCTTCAAAGTTTCGCATGCGTGGTCTTAAAGGCGCTCAAGTCTTACAAGACAGCCATATTGAGTAAGTTCAAATCTTCTGGGTTGACAAATCTGCTTTTCGTGAGAGGAGTCCTGACCTCTCGAACAGTGATCTTATCTTTGATATACCCACCCTCGTGAGTTTCTTATCACAAGGCACAACACTCCCGCCTGGGACTGTAATTCTTACTGGTACACCTGCTGGAGTGGGCGTCAGTCGCAAGCCCAAAGTTACAATTAGCGACGGTGATGAGTTCTCTGTTGAAATCCTGCCTCATATTGGTACACTGGTAAACGCGTTTGAAAACGAATCCTTGTCGGAGCAGGACCTGGAAAACTAGTTCATAAGTGAAAATTAAAAGTCATGAGACTGTAGGCCTATACCTCGGTGTGTTCCTTGTGCTATGGTGATAGGGCGAGTGGTATTTTGATTCTAAAAGGAATATAACACAGTAGATGACCTTCTACGCAGTAGACATACATGTAATGCCGCCATGAAACCGTATCGGGGCCTAACATCTACAGTTTTAGGTAAAGCAACCATGTTACGCTCTACCCTCACATTCCAATTAATAGTAACTGATCAATTAAGATGCGATTATAATTATTGTGCTGACATATCATGGAAGTTTGTTCTTCTAAAGGCTGGAATATCTTTTTGATCTATTAAGTTGTATCTTCAGTGTATTTTACCCAACATCTCAGCTCTCTAGTAGTGTTGGGACTTGATCAGTGAGATATTCAACGATAGCTTCTGGACCCTTCGCCACCTGAAGGCCGTAGGGAATTGCGTGGAACTTGATATCGGGAATAATTGTTCTAGCAATTGCTTCGATCTCCTGACTCTGCTCCGGTGTCCACATAGATGCAGTGAACTTTAAAATGTGAATACGCTAGGCTGCATTCTTACGATGGAGTTGTGACTTACCAAGACATCAGGACGATGTTGCTTGATCAAGGGTCCAACGTCTTCGACTCCTGAACCCAATGCAATTAGCCTTTCGTCTTTGCCAGAAGTTCATCGCGATACGAGAGACTTTTTAAACCGATCTAACCACGGGAGAGACTTACTTTCTGAATTAACGACGTAATCAATAATGTAACTTTCTTTGAGGTTCTCTACCATGGCGCCAATGACGCGCTTGGCCCGCTCTGGTGCTGTATTGACCGTCATGAGCCGGAAAGGACCCTGAGGACTCATTGTAGAGTTGGAAAGTTGGTATTAGATGTGATGCAATGAAAATGCTAGCTGCAAAGATACAGCGGTTGAGTTTCGATGTAGAATGTTTATCATTTCTCCTTAGCTTTCCTCATGTGTTGTCAGATGGCGCTTGACCTCATTCGGTTAGGATCTTAAAGCCGAGTTGAGAAGCCGAAATTGGGGTTTACTATCCGTTCCATCCGAGATCACACTTGCGGGGTCGGCTACAGGGGGTTCGGAATTCCCGGACAAGAACAGCCGATGTTGGTGCTGGGAAGTCGGAGCTCGGAACATGGCCAGATCCACGTACGTCCGAGTGGAAAAGTCCGGTCTAGGGTAGAGGCTGGAAAACCGACCGAATCACCTGCTCTATACAGAAGAAGTATGCCAACACGTACTGATATACACCTATTACGCTGACAGTCACGACCCTGAACATCTTGTACGGCAACTAGCACAGCCTTTGCATATCAAAGTTCTTCATACAACTTGCTATCATGAACGATCACGGACAGTCAAGTCTCGACCACAATAGAAGCCCTGTGTCCCTCGACATCATTATTGTGGGTGCTGGGTTGAGTGGTCTTGCGTCGGCTGTCTCATGCTCTTTATCGGGGCATAAGGTTACCATCTTTGAATCTGCGACTGCGCTCCAAGAGGTAAGCTATAAAAGCTAAGCCATGACATAAGCGGCGGATTTTTAACATTTCACAAGGTTGGCGCAGGACTACAGATCACACCCAACTCATCTCGTCTACTGCGCCGATGGAAGTTATCTGAACAATTCTGGGATTCAGTCGCCGAGCCTACTCGTCTAGCTGTTCATCGTTATTCGGGCCAAGTTCTTGCTTTGGAAAAAGACTTTGACAAGAACATCCGAGAGAAGTACGGAGCTCCCTTTGTCGATGCGCACCGAGTGGATCTCCAATCTGCGTTACTGGAGAGGGCGCAGCAACTCGGCGCCAAGGTCAAGTTATCGCAGAAAGTTACAAACGTCAACTTCAACATTCCAGAAATCACTACGCAAAGTGGAACCAAGGCAAGGGCTGATCTGATTATCGCTGCCGATGGCTTGTGGTCTCGTTGTCGTGGTGCCTTCCTTGCTACTAAAGATGCGCCCAAGCCTACAGGTGATCTTGCTTACCGCGTTGTTCTAAAGTTGGAGGACATCAAAGATCCCGAGTTGATCGACTGGGTCCGTAACAGCTCATGTCATTTCTGGATCGGTCCTGGTGCACATGCCGTGGGTTATTCCCTCCGAGGCGGAAACATGTATAATATTGTTCTCCTTGTTCCTGATGACCTGCCTCAAGGTGTCAGTAGGCTTCCCGGATCTGTGGACCAGATGAAAGCGCTTTTTCAAGGCTGGGACCCAATACTACTTCGCTTCCTCGATCTTGTCACTGATGTTGACCGATGGAAGTTGATGCATCGTAAGACTTACGTCCTGCACCTGTATTGTTGTTCTAATCTAACTGAGATCGACAGATGACGAAATGGAGCATTGGGTAAACACACAATCGAATTTGGTCTTCGTGTAAGTCTTAGCTACCTCCAGGAATATATTAACACGGAGTTCTAACATAATCTAGTGGGGATGCATGCCATCCTATGCTTCCCTATTTAGCCCAAGGTGCAAACTCAGCAATCGAGGACGGTGCTGTGCTCGGACTTTTGCTAGGCGCTGTGGAGTCACAGAGGGATATACCAAGAATGTTGAAACTCTATGAACAATTGCGGAAGAGTCGCGGAGAAGCTATCGTGCGGGAAACGTTCAAGCAGGTAAGCAAGAAGCTCCGTTTTGTCCTGCCTTGAATCTCATATAGAAGCATGCTGACACGTCTCTTTTTGCACAGAGAGAATCGTTCCATATGCTTGATGGACCAGATCAGGAGAAAAGAGATGAGATTTTCTTGTCCCAACTCGGGAAAAGAGAACTGAAAGCACCCTTTCCAAGTCGATGGACATGTCCTGAGGTCCAGCCATGGTTGTATGGCTATGATGCGTATCAGGAAGTCCACGATGCGCTCGTCAGAGAACACGTTAATAGTCCTTGCGCTACAGTAGGCCTTCGCTCTACTGCGGCTTCAACAAACTGGATAGCGCGTTTGCTCTCGCAACTTCATCATTGGGTGTGGACAATATTGAAAGGGAGGTAAGGCGGAAGACAGCCCGACGAGGGGCACAAGGGTCGCAGTCTAGAAGGGGAAAAAGGTCATTACAGTATTTTCAATATCCTTCGTGCAGTATCAGTTAAACTATATTCTTGGGCGAAAGCCTGATTTCGTTTATTTGACGTCTACTTATATCATTAGCTCTTAACAACTGACTTTATTTGCGGGGGCTCTTTATGCCAAAAGTAAAAATAAACAAAGGAAAAGATTAGGTATAGTACCTAGTAACGGCATGTTTTAATCGAGTCTCCTTACATATCCAATATAGGTAGCAGGGTATGACGCCGTTCAGTTATCCTGTCACGGAGATGGACCTGGGCGTTTATATTTAAATGTAGAACATAAGCTGGAACAAATGATGATGTTTCTATTCAAGATAAACAACATCTACAAATCGCTATAGCTTATTCCAGGTCGAGCTGTTACTAATGGTAAATCTTGTCACCTGATCCGCCACAACAACTCCATACACACCTGCTTCAAGTCTCCAAGTCCTCTCTTGATCATCCCAATAGCTGCAGGCTATGTCCAAGTCCATATGCACCTCAAACTGCCGGCTCTCACCAGGCTCCAGAGAAACCTTTGTGAATCCCTTGAGTTCTTGGTCTGGTCTCCATACCTTCGTTGTCTCACACGGCTTAACGAAGACATGGATAACCTCGTATCCACAGACCGTGCCTGTATTTTGGACGTCCAGAACACATCTGAGTTTCTTGGGCTCGCATGACTCATCCACGAAAACATTCAGGTTGCTGTGGCTAAATGTTGTGTACGACAAACCATATCCAAAAAGCCACCTGGCTCTATCTTTGCAATCTGGAGCACGGTAGCCAACTGCAACACCCTCAACGTATCTAAGATATGGATCTCCATCCACTGACTCTTGGGCAGGGAAGCTACCGTAACTGGGGCAGTCCTGTAAGGTTTTGAACCACGTTGTCGCAAGCCGCCCGCTGGGACAAACATCACCTAAAAGGAGCTGTACAGTCGCGGCCGCACCCTCTTGGCCAGGAAAATGAGCAAGAAGAACAGCGTCTACACTGTCGATGAAAGCACTGACATCAATCGGGTTTCCACAATGCATGACCAGGATCGTCTTCTTGGCAACTGCTGCTACGGCCTTGATCAGCTTCGTCTGGTTCTCCGGCATGCGGATATCTTCAAGATCGAACCCTTCCGACTCGTACTGATCATTCCTTCCAGCGTAGATAATAGTCTCGTCGGCAGATCGTGCTATCTCAACAGCCTTCGCAATCGCATCATCTTCGGAAGAACATTCTTCGAAGCACAGAGCCGCCGCATATGGAGTCGGCTCACCAACTTGAATTTTCGAAGGGCCCGCCATGTCCAGATGAATATTGTACGGAACCCCGGCGTCCATAGAAACTTCCACACGGGATTCTAGCAAGGTGTGATTAAATATGAATTGCTCTGTCGTCACATTCGCCTCTTGGCCTGAAAGAACTTGACGACCATTGATGAACAAGGAGAATGCACCTGTACATCTAACAGCCAATGTATGCCTGCCAGAGGTATCTGGTGTGAGCTTGGTTCGCATCTCGAGGTGCGAACCAACAGGATTCAACCTCTTCTTGTGAAACTCGCCGAGCATCCAGACATTTGCTTCTTCCTGGAACTCCTCGAGTACTGGCTTGGGGTCTCCCGCATTATAGTATTTAACGAGGACACCAGGCCTTTCTCCTAGCGATGCGAGCTTCTCGCGTGGTGCGATAGGAATAATCCTTCGAGTCCGCACGCCTGGAGAGTATTGCACCATACCGGGTAGTCTCTTCTTCAAGATGTCCAACGGAGAGTGTCGGTATTGAGGTATAGACGATGCGCTGCCACCTCCGGTAATAACGGGGTCGGAAGCATATTGGCCAATGAGAGCTATGCGCGTACATTGATTTGCTTTCATCGGCAAGGCATCATTCTCATTCTTAAGAAGGACCATTCCGCTCGTCGCAACTTCTCGAGCAAGTTTGTTCGTCTCCTCGTCCACTTCAGACCGTTCGTCGGTATACTCGAGAGCAGCTCGGGTCCGATTGCGAAGTTCGAGAGCTCTCAAGGCCAAAGTGTCAATCTCAGTCTCTGTGACGGATCCTGACTTTACTGCTGCCAGGAGTTTGTCTCCTCTGAAAACAGGAAAGGGCATCTCGATGTCCAGACCAGCCTTGACTGGCTCAGTCGTTGCATGAGTGCCGAACCAATCCGACATAGTAAGGCCTTTGAATTTCCATTCGTCTCGCAAGACCCGCTGCGTCAAAGACGAGTTTTCGCTACAGAAACGACCGTCAACCTTGTTGTATCTTCTCCTCGTCAGTTCAAGATCGTATTGATTGGCTATAGATTCACTCACGCAGTCATTATCCCTTCAGGATTAGATGAACGCAATAGCTGCTGCCATGCCGCAAGATAGATCTCTCGGAGAGCGCGGTCATCCACGGATTCTTGCACATTATAATATCGTCGCAAAGTCTCCGAGTCGTTGCATACGAAATGCTTTGGGCAGGACCCAACACCCAGAGACTGGACGCCGTTAACAAGCGCGGCCGCCAGTTCTCCGGAGAGCAGTGGATCCTCACTAAAACACTCAAAGTTTCTGCCAGCTCGAGGGTCCCTGTGGATGTTGATGGTTGGCCCAAGGACAACTTGGGCTCCTTTCGTTCGCGCTTGTTTGGCAAGATGCGTGCCAACACGGAACATTAGTTCAGAATCCCATGTTGATCCATAACAAGTCGTGTTAGGGAAGGACGCAGTTGTAAGGTTCGCTTCAATGCCCGAAGGTCGAATGCCAGAGGTTGAGTCAGCGACCTATTCTATCTTCAATATTGCAAATCAGTCGTTCAAGGGTAATTACTTACCCTGATCGGCGGGATGTTCAGTCTTGAAACACCAGCGATCGTAGAAAAGTCTTGACCGGATAAGAGTGTGATCTTTTCTTGGATTGTGAGTTTGGAGAGTAAAGAGCAGAAGTCATCATCCGTCGATGGTAGGGAGCCCATGTTGAGGTAAGGATTAGTCGCTTGAGCGATTACTGAAGAGCCTTGGGGATTGTAATTATCCAAATCCAATGAAGTAAGTCGATGCTGGCTTTTGTTATAGTTTGCGGTCGATCGTCTATTCTTGCTTACACATGGGCCTGAGCTCATAGGGTTCCCGAACCGCAAATCCCCAAGATAAAATGATTGCCATAGGTGGAGGTTACGTTATCAAAGTACAATCGGAACATCCGAGCTCGGGCCGGAATGGGTATCCCGAGCACACACAACTCGGCTTATTTCAACCCGAAATCCTAGCCTCGGTTCATTCAAAGGCCCGGCACATGGCTATTGAAACTAACCTGGGCAATTGAATACATTGTTTCAATGTTTATGCCTCGATGCATGCGAAGTTTGGCAGGAGGTGATCAAGACTAATCGCAATTTCATAGTCATGGAGACAATATGTGTCGGGGCCCGGATAAACAACGCGAATAGCCGAATCAATCGATTATTACGCAGAAGCATTATCAGTCCATGAGAGAGCAAGTCTAGGGCGTATCGCATTGGTCTATGGAGGCCAGGATCCATTGCTTTAGCTCATTAGACAGGGGCTAGTGGAAATCCCCGTGGGGAAAATGGGCTGCGGAGAATCTGGAGTCGGATATGCCGACGGCATAGCCCTGGGGTTTTAATAAATCTTATTACAAGCATGGCACATCATATATCTCCCTATTAAGTAGAGCGAGCCTGCGAACATGGTAGCTTCAAAAGTTCAAATCGACACATATTGCAAGACTAACTCCTTGTTTGTCCCCACAACCGATATCTACTACTGATCTTTTTCCTCTACCCTGGGACCTTCGCTATGGCCCGCGATAATGATGAAGTCCTCGTCGGTGGGAAACCTGGAGCAGTCCACGACGAACATATCGTGATTCAGGAAGACTCAAAGACGACCTGGGAGTGCCTCAAGGCCAACCCAAAGATTGTTCTGTGGACACTGTGGGCTAATAGTTCGTATACCGTTCTTCCTCTTTTGTGTACTTTACCTTTGGATGGTAGAAGACTTATCATCTTTACAGTTGGTCCTTTGATGGTGGGCTACGAGAACCTAGCAATGTCGGTTTGCTTAGCTATGCCCGCGTTCCAGTAAGTAGTACACGCTGCTTTTGTCATCTTCCATGCATTGTGATACTTACGGGTTTCTTGACAGGATGAGGTTTTCTGTCGATGTTGATGGCGAGCTCATTATTCCAGCCTACTGGCAGTCTCTTTGGAGCTCCCTGTACAACGTCACGACTATGCTTGGCTCTGTTTCGGCAGGCTACTGCCAAGACCGATTCGGCCGACGATCTGTGTTTCTTGCTTCAATCATTATCGCGGTAGCTGGCATTGCGCTCACATTCGTCTCGAAGACTCCTGCGGAGTTCCTTGGTGGCAAAATGACTTCCGGTTTCGCGATGGGTCTGATCTTAGCTGGTTCTCAGACTTGGGTTTCGGAGATTGCACCATTGCCTCTGCGAGGTATTGCCCTTTCAACGTATGCAATCATGCTGGTAAGTCTATGAACACTAGCCTGATCAGTTTCGTACTCACCTAAGTACAATCGAAATACAGAACCTCGGACTCTTGCTTGCAATCTCAGCAACGTTCAGTCGAATCTCCATTATGAATGATTGGGCCTTCCGTGTTGTGTTTGCTGCAGCTTGGGTCTTCCCTAGCCTACTAGCGCTGGGACTACCCTTTATGCCCGAGTCACCGTATTGGTTGACTTTGAAGAATAAGCACGATCGAGCGCGACACGCTCTGATTCGCCTTTCACCGAATAAGGACGGAATTGATGCCCGCTTGGTTCAGATACAGCACTCTATCGAAACTGAACGTCGACTTGCGGTTCAGAAGACATCGTATGCTCAGCTTTTACGTGGCACCAATCTGCGCCGCACCCGCATATTACTTATCTGCATGTATATGCCCCAGATCGTCGGCACTGTTCTCTCCTCCAACGCGCCATATTTTCTCAACCAAACTGGCATGGACAACCATACCACTGTCATGATTCTACAAATAGCTGTCAGCTGCGGTGTAGTCTCCGCGGTCTTGAACGTGTTTGCAATGTCGAAGTTCAATTATCGAACACTGATGTTCTTTGGAGTTAGTATCTGTGTCGCTCTATACTTAGCTATGGGCATTGCCGGCACCATGACACGTACACCAGCAACACTTACCGTCATTGGCATTGCAGTTGCGTTTCCCAGTATCTCTTACGGACCTGCAGTTGGAGCATCCATGAGCGTTGCTGGAGAAGTGTCCTCTATCAACCTCCGTGCCAAGTCTCTGGCACTGGGCCAAGCCTTTTCATCTGTTGTGTCGACTATTTGGCAAATCATCCTGCCGTACCTATTCAATAGAGACCAGGCTAACATGGGAGGAAACATCGGCTGGATATTCTTCGGCATGGCAGTTATCTATCTTGTGGTTCTCTATGTTGACGTTCCGGATACGAAGGGTCACACTTACGAACAGTTAGATATTATGTTTCAGAAGAAGGTTCCTGCGAGGCAATTCCCGTCTTACGTGCTTGGCGGCACAAATGACCTCGAGTCATCTATTTCTTTCGCTTAGAGCCAATTTGACTTGGAAAGATAGATGAGACGGTGTTCTAAGACTAGGTTCATAGACTATTGGTAAATGAAGCCGTGTCCCAACTGAGTTTATTGCGAACATGACAAATGAGGAAGAAGGGAACAGAGCTTGAACCCAAGGTTGAGAAGGTCCTTTTTCACAGGTCCAATCGATTCTTAATTAACAAACAGTTGATATACGTTAGCGGTCACTTTGTTTTAACATAACAGCATAGACCATTGAGCCTTTAGTCTTTCAATTGAATCACGTTCTAGGAACTAAGCAATGTCGTTATACTATCCCTATTTTATGGTTCTTTTCTCAACAGTCCGCTGATACCTGTTTAGTGTTCTTTTTGGACAGAACGGAATCAAGTCATCACTGACTCTTCATGGGGCATTTATAAGCTCGAAACACGTAATATCATGAGAACTGTTGTCTTTCTAATTCTAATAGCTCCCTGATTATATTTCTTGAACACCTCACTGTCCGGCTCTCCAAAGCTATCTACACCGCTTCCAGCCGTTCAACTGAACATATTAGGCGTCTTTTCATTAACACTAATTGGGCCGGACACCGCTATCTAACTTAGATGAACGAATCCTGCATATACCCCTTGAATTTGCCTCTCCTGCTGTTTGAGGTAGCAACTTGGTTGATATAATAAGGGAAGTTTTAACAAGTATTACTCAAAGCTGCTATAAATCTTCCTATTTTCCTTCTAGATACTTTGAATATATAGGCGGCGTGTACTCATTCCCAGCGTGTTTGCAGGCAGCTGGATGGGATGATGGATGGCGCTCTTGCTGGCGCAATTATAGATATAGGGTTAATGCTCCCTAGCAATGGTTATTAGATCTTCAATCTTTCTCTTTTGTACTAATTACTAAAAAAGATTTTGGACATAGCAAAGAGTAGCTAAGGTAACGTTCTTTGTGAGGCTTGAGCAGAACAGTGCTTTACTAATTGTATATGTCTCTATAAATTTCAATAGCAGACGGTAATGAGTTTGATAAGTGTTATTCCACATAGCCTCTCAAGACGTGTTGGCACCGTGCCTTGGCTACTTGCATCCAGTCAAAGTTGTCCATACTGTAAGGTAAGGTATTTTGGAATATGGATTAGTTTAGCGAAGCGATTATGACGCCAGGTTTCGAGGCATGCCTTGCCGAAGTCCCACTCATAACGGATTATCAACATTTTCCTGACTAAAAGAAATACCCTCGATATCTGTGAAGTACATACCAGCTTCAATTGACTTTTGTATGCATTGCTTAATTTCTCCCTTTCTGTTATCGTGAGACACAAGGTCACAATGCGAGCTGCAACGTAACCTAACCAATAAGCAGCTGGGAGAGCGTCAGCGTTGATTTTATCATTTACGAGGATGACAAAATCTACCCTGATTTGTCGCGTCGCAGTGCTATGACCCACTGCCACGACATCAGCCCAAACCTAATTTCGGGATCTTCAGTAGCATTATGGGGCTTACCTAAGTAGATAGTATACACCCCAAACTAGATGCACTGTGTGGCTCCGCTATGGAACCTGATGTCTTGGAAGCAACCTTGAAGGAACCCCTGGGATCAGAATGAGATGACTTGGCAGCTTGGCTCTCGATCTGTAACTTTCCAGTTGACTGCACGATATGCTGATGAACAGGGGTCTGCCTATAATCTTCTCGACCAACCATTTTGTATCGTCATGACTGGTCGTACTGTATTCCTTTGGTTCCGCCTCTTCTACGAGCCCTGCGATCCGGCATCAAGTTGGAATCTGACCCAGTATCGTTGTGCTAGTAGGGTTTTCATCCTTCCGGAACCTCCGTTTTCATTTGGGCTCCTCATAATGATGAACAGGACTAATGACGGCAACACCGGCACGGTCCGTCAAGTCTTGGAAGTCACCTCAAGCCATATTCAGTAATCCGTCAACGTAGCGTCGAAAAAAGGAGGTCTTGAAACCTGCATCAATCCCTCAACTTTGCAGACGCGCATTAAAACAGCGTCAATAAATCCGCTCAGATTCCCCGGCCCTTCATTAGTTAGTTGTGACAAACCTGCTTCTGCCAAGGCATCATGCGTCTGCAAGCTTTTACCGCTTTAGCCACGTTGGCTGCTACATCGGCCTGCCAGACCCTCTGGGCTCGCGATGTCGACTACAAGGCGCTTAGCAAAGAGCTTTCGTCCTCAGCAAAGGTCTATTTCCCTGGATCTGATGAGTTCGATGCTGCTTCGAAGCGATGGTCCAACCTCGACACCCCAAGTGTGAACATTGTCGTCGTTCCTGCCACTGAGAATGATGTCGTCGAGATTGTAAGTTTAGTTCTACATACCCACCGCCTGACACTTGTATATCATTTCCCATTTCGTCGTCTTTGCCTTTCCGCGTATCGTGGCTGCCTACCAGTACTGCGGTATGGTTCAGGTTCCTGACTAAAGCTTTGTTACAGGTCAAATATGCCAACAAAAAGAACTTGCCCTTCCTGGCATACAACAGCGCTCATGGAGCAATCACCACTTTGGGACAGATGACACAGGGTATCGAGATTTATCTCAATCAGCTCTCTGGTGTTGAGATCGCCGAGGATGGAAAGAGCGTCACCATCCTTGGTGGAACCAAATCTAAGCTTGTGACCCACACCCTTTGGGAGGCTGGCAAGCAGACAGGTAAGCGCAGAAATGGAAACAGGTTGGCCTCATTCTAATTATCCTGATAGTCACTGGCTGCTGTGAGTGTGTCGGCTATGTCGGACCCGCTCTTGGTGGAGGCCATGGCTGGCTCCAGGGTCGCCACGGGCTCATTGCTGACCAGTTCGAGTCGATGAACATCGTACTGTCCAACGGGACTCTTGCCACAATTGATTCCAACTCCGAGCTCTGGTGGGCTTTGAAGGGTGCTGGACACAACTTCGGTATCATCACCTCCATCACCTCCAAGTCTTATAACATTAAACATAAGAACTGGGCATTCGAAAGTCTGACTTTCAAGGGCGACAAGGTTGAGGAGCTCTACAAGATCACCAACGAAAACATCCTCAAGAATGGCACTCAGCCAACTGATTTGATAAACTGGTCATACTGGTACAATATTCCTGATGTGGACCCCACAGGTGTAAGTATTCACGCTCAATTCTACCGGTTTTCTCGCGAAGTTCTAACAAGTCACATTAGCCTATTGTCCAGATCCTCCTCATCCAAGAAGGCGTCGAGTCAGTCGACAAGGCATACAGTGCCCCCTTCCACAAACTGAAGCCCCTCACGGTTGATAGGAAGAAGGGTCTTTACACAGATCTTGCCAAGTGGGTCGGTATCACTACTGAAGACGGCCCTTGTCAAAAGAATAGAGCTATGAACCCGCGATTCCCCATCTACCTCGAGACATTCAACCCCGCTGCGCAGAAGAAAGCTTTTGACTTCTTCGCTGAGCACGTCCGTGGCGGCTCTGTCTTCAATAACTCTCTGGTCACCTTTGATGGATATTCCACCGAGGGCGTCAAGTCCATTGATGCTAAGAGTACTGCCTTTGCCTACAGAGATCAGAACATTCTCGTCGGTCCATTGATCACTTACCAACCCAATGGAACTGAGTTGGACAATAAGGCCTCTGAGGTTGGCCACAAGATCCGGGAGATCCTACATGAGGGAACTGGACGAGAGCACGTGCCAGCGTATGTCAATTATGCTTTTGGCGATGAAGGTCCTGAGCAGTGGTATGGCAGTGAGAGCTGGAGACAAAGCCGTCTGCAGAAGTTGAAAGAGACTTACGATCCTCAGGGATTGTTCAGCTTCTACGCCCCGATAGCTTAGGTACAATCACGACTGTATTTAGTCTCTTCTCTTCTTCTCTGCGTCGTGACATCAAGTCACGTTGCAGCATATTGCAGACCATCAATTGAAGATATTGTTTCTCTCATGTATCTTGAAATTGTAGATAAGTAACGATTTTCTAGATTTTTGATCCTGTATCCATTTACGACTCTATAGTTGTGCTTAATATGACTATAATAATCATGTGGAACTAAAAAGATGCTTGCTGATTTAGCTCCAACCTTATCGCTGATATCTTTACCGAGACACGACAAGGTTGAGCCCAAGGCCTAACTATAATCCCGGTCTGCTTTGCACCGACGACCGTAACAATACATTCGTGCCAGGAACTCAGATTGCTATTAATAGAAGCTGCCAAGCATCCAGCCACTTCTGACCTCACTACATTACGTGCAGCAGTCTTCACATTCAAGAGACAACTTCATAATGAGTGGATGTTCTGCTTTTGTATCTAAGTAAATTATTTGTAACAACTACATTCAAAAGCTCTCAAGTTTCACTCCAGTGAGATCTTCACAAGCCTTCACAACAGCCTCCTGCTTGTCTTCATCGGCTGTTAGGGCATGTGGCTGGACCCTCTCCCGCTTTGGGTCAAAGTATGCACCAGTAAGAGTAACGTCATAGTCGCCTTCAGCAAGCATAATATACGTCTCGATGCCATCCTGCATTTTACCAGGAGCGTCTTTACCCGCAAGCTTAGTAGGGACATATCCAGGGTGCAGGGAAATAACTGAGGTATTCTTTTCCCTCAATCGTCTTGCCATAGCATGAGCCAGGAGAACGACGTGGAACTTTGAGTCGCAGTATGCTTGGAAGTCGTTCCATTGCTCTTCGCGTTCCAACCAAAATATGTCCTTGAGATCTGTCCTGGCCTCGTGATGAAGGACAGATGCGACAAAAATCAGCCGTTTAGGCGGCTTGATAAGGGCTGCAAGGAGATAAGGTGCCACAAGATTGACAAAAACACTTGATGGTACACCCAGGTCTGTTGTCTTTCGGTAGGGTCCATAGAGGAGTCCGGCGTTGAGAATGACAGCATCAAAGATGCCACCGATAGCATTGGCTTCTTCAGCTAGCTTACGGGTCTCTGCGACTGTAGTCAAGTCGGCAATAAAGACACCTGCAGCTCCAGGGCATTTTGCCTTTACTTCTTCGGCGCGTTCCTGGCTTCGCGCATGGAGGTAGACTTCATGCTTACGCTCGATCAGCTGTCGAGCTGCTTCGAAGCCAAAGCCGTCGGTAGAACCGGTGATGAGGATACGAGCCATTTTGGAAGAGGAATAGCGAGTAAAAACTTGTAAGCGAGAAAAGTGTCGGATGCCACTGTTACTGTTGAGCAGGGGAGATGGAAGTTGGAGGTCGACTGATGGAAGAAATTTCGCTATGAATAAATGGGGGTTGAGGCCTTTCCCGCAACGGAAGTTCGGAACACTTGTAGCTCCGATGACTATAGAACGGTATAATGAGGTTAGTCCATCTGCACAGTAGACATCCATCTCACCGAGTGTTGGCCGAAGTATCAACATCCATGACTTCGAAGGGGATGAGAATGAAGAGTTGTGGGGCGGTCGCCATGACTCGCGCTATCCGACTGGGATGAACCACCTGCCAGTGAGTTGTACGTAATTTCGGGACCCACGATCTTTTGTTTACACTTCAAGGTAAGTTGAGAGGATCGTAGGGGTTGCCATCCGTCGGGCCGCCCTCCTTCCCCCATTCAATTGAACTGGTGCGGGATCTGTGTGGGATTTGTCTTGGCAAAGATGCATGCAAATGATGTGTAATCGCTCAGACGTCGGCACGTCATTTGTGAAACAGGGTAGGTCAGAAATAAGTTAGGTGCCTGCGAATGCGACATCGGACAGACAGTGTGATAGAAAGAGATATGTTGATCACTTGACAGTTTTTTACGTTAGAATGCTGTTTTCAGGTGTTTGTTATCAGTCTTCGTATCTTTTTATTTTATTTTTTTAAACAAGAAGAATCGTCAACATGGCCGCCGTTCCTCAATCGCAACTGGGAAAGTTTCGCTACCTCGTGAGAGGAGCCAAGCCCACCCCGAGCACAGAAGCTTATTTGTTGCCGTCGCTCTCTGAATTCGGAGATATCGTCACGTTGCCTCTCACTGACTTGCGGCCGTCTCTGGATCTTGGAGAGGATTCTCCGTACAGTCTTCAAGTCCATGGATTTACCGCTCGTCGACACCCCTCAGCTCTACACTCAGCTCCTTACAATCGGGCCAGCTGGAATAATGAGAAGCTCCTTCGTGAGGTCTACTTTCCTGAAGTGGTAGAGTTCGTTCAGAACTTAACGGGATGCAAGAAGGCAGTGGTATCTGCCGCGGTTGTGCGAAACCGATTGTATAGCGAGGGCGATGGCTCTTCGGCTCCAGGAGCTGAGGCGGATGCGCAACCCGAAGTGCAAGATGACACATCTCACCTGTTTCCACCGATCTTTGGTAATTATATAAAAGATGGTGTATGTCCGGCCCCAAAGGTGCATCTGGACTGTACTCCAAAAGGCGCAAGGCACCATATTCGTCGCTATCATAGCGAGGTTGCTTTGGCAGCTGAGCATGTAATTGTGGCAGAAAACCGTTTGCTTGAATCAGGCATTCCATGGAACGACGTCAAGAACCATTATGGCGGGGACAAGCACGGTGAAGGTAAAATACCTCACTTTGCGCTGTTTTCGATATGGCGACCCTTGAAGACGGTTCATCGTGACCCTCTCGCTATTTCATCGGCGGCTTCTTTTCCCGTGTCTGATTACGTTCCCTCTGATCAACGCGAGCCAACAGACCACAGCATCCCTGCTCACCTATACCGCATCATAAGCAATAGTAACAGCCAAGATGTTGAAGGGCCTGATATGAATGACGGCACGTATCAGACCCAAAGCTACCTCGCATACGCACCGCAGGATGAGGAAAAGACTTCGCATGACTGGCACTACATTTCAGATCAACAACCCTCCGACGTCCTGGTGATTCAATTGTTCGACAACGAGATGGAAGCGCATGCACGAGCACCTTTGGAGGGCGGCAGAGGTAAGTCTGATCTTGGAGTTGGGGGAGCTGTCCATAGTGCTTTCGAGCTGGTGGATCAGGATGAGAAGGCGGAAGCTAGGGAAAGCATTGAGGTTCGGGTCGCAGCATTCTGGTGATGGTGGCTTGTAAATCAGTATGACCATGGTTCAATATCAACTGCACAAACATAACCTATCATTATTCACAGTCTTGAAGCCTCAATAATGATGAAACTTGAATGATTGCTTTTCATCTGGCATATATGTTCTGACAGACAGTATGAACCCTCGTTGAGAACCGAAAGATTGATTTCTCACTTCATCTTGACTTTTTCTATATGTGTCTAGCTAGTCTAGTACCTTCAGCTCACCTAGCTCCGGCTCGTTTGACGCTGAAGCGTTGTCCCAAAACGATGAACTGGGCTACAGTAATAATTCGACGTAGAGGCAGGGCTTCTTGCCTGTTAAAGGCCCCATCCATGGCATCCTGTGCAGCCTCCCAGTCTACAAAACCCAACTTCTCGACGTTTTCTTTAGTAACCAGTTGGCTAATCTTCTTATGCAGCGGTCCGCCGGACCAAAACTTCCGAGGACCCATATAAGCTTTCTTACTCATATTGTAAACCTCATCGGTGACATAAGGCTTGACGGCTTCTCGCAGAACATGCTTCTCGCGCCAGCTCTTGTCCTTTGCGTTGTACCTCATTTTCAGACTAGGTGGAATGTTATTGACGTACTCGGTCAGATGGTGATCGAGGAAAGGACAGCGGCTTTCGATCTGGTGGACCATGTCTATGTTATCGCCATTGTATCGTAAGATGAAATGGGGCATGAATGTTTTCACAAACATGTATTGTGCTGTATGAGCAGGATGCCAGCGGTTGAGTATGTTGTCTCGAACTTTACCATCCAAGCCTTCAATAAGACACGTCTCAGGTACGCCATCGCCATAGGCCTTGGTCCAATTCGAGAACGGTAAACTTCCGACCCTGGCGATGGAACTGATGACGTGACTGGATATGAACATACGCTTCGTCGAGATTGGTAGCTTTGGCGTAAAATCACCAAAGATACCATACCTAGCCTGTTTGCTCGCCAAAGCATACGCTTCTTCACGTTCAATGTTCGTCATCATGGAAGGCCACGAATGATCGGCCTCGCTCAGTGAGTCAGATCTGAAGGCATCATAACCTCCAAAATGTTCATCGGAGCCCTCGCCTGGTCTGAGTTAGATATCTCGCTATTGCTAGCCGGTTTCTGGAATGATTACCCACCTGTAATAACGACCTTGATACCCTGAGAGTGCACAGCTTCTGCCAATGCCAGTCGCCCCATTCCGTTTAAATCTGGTAGAGGGACTTCACTGTACCATGTGGTGTCTTCAAATCGTGCAACCAGTGCTTCTTCATCCATTTTGACTAGATGGATATCAACACCGAGCCAGTCCGCAGTGCGACGAGCAATTGCTTTGGTTCATCAGTCTTGAAGTAATTGAGGATAGAAATGAGATTACGTACCCGACTCGTCTGCCCCACTGCCCTCGTCGAACTGGACAGTATAGCACTTCATACTGGAGGGGGCTGAACTTCTTTCATTGCCCAGGTTTGTGCCCTGCTTGATGAGATGGGCTACCATGCCGGCAACGGATGATGAGTCTATTCCACCAGAGAGGTAGACAGCTACAGGAACATCCGCCTTGAGGCGGAGTTTTACGGCCTCTAGAAGACGTTCTCTGACGCCTTCGGTCATCTCGTCTTCGGATCGGTGATCTTCAATCCACTGTAGGAGTATTAATAGTCTGGAGCTATCGGTCAATGGGATGCTATACTTACTTTGTCGGGGTACTCAACATCCCAGTACGGCTTTTATTCTTCTGTCTCATTGGGTCGACATGTGAGATAATGTCCGTGTAGGACCTACGCGTGCTAGTTAGATGCCTATCATAAATACTACCGGTATGATTGAATCTACCTTGTGCACTCCTTGGAAGAATGTGCTTGAGTCAACCCTCCAACTTTGGTCTCGAAGTGTTCGGACACACCACTCCGGTTGCAGACCAAATGCCAAGAATGATTTGATCTCTGTTGCTACCAACAATTTGTTCTGGTGCACTGTATAATAGAGACTCTTGATGCCGTATCGATCTCGGGCCGCTATGAGCTGCTGGCGATTCTCATCCCATAGTACAAATGCGAATTCGCCTCTAAGGTGAGAGATAAAGGAGAAACCGTAATGCTTGTAAAGGGCAATGACAATCTCGGAGTCACTGTTTCCGACAAACTTGAACTCATCAGACAATTGAGTCTTGTAACGTTCATAGTCGTACAATTCACCATTGACGACGGCATGGACCCTGCCCTCTTGATCATGGAAAGGCTGGTTTCCACTAGGGCTGAGGTCGATAATGGACAGTCGAACATGCCCGAGACCTGACACTTTTAGTATATTCACAAACACAAAACACTACACAGAATACAGAACTCACCAACACCATGGTCGTCACTGAACCAACGGCCCCGGGCGTCTGGTCCACGATGAGCAATCAGATCCAGGCTGCCTTCGAGCTCAGCTGTCACATGCTTGGCTTCACCATTCACCACGGGTAAATAACTTGTGGGTCTGAGGCAACGGAAGGATTCAAAGGAGCATACGCGCCCTGTCGGCTTGGTATCGCTCCAATAGTTCGTCTAGCTAAGCACAGGAGTGAATGACTCAACAACTATTTCCCATACTTACACTAATCGGTGGACTATGAAGGGAATATTCTCCTTGGCAGTTATCTTGGTGTTTACTTGTGACATCCGCCTTCCTGACTTTACACCCTCCTCGCGATCCATCCATTTCCATTCATTGCTGCGTATCCCTGCAGGGTACTTTTTCTGGGTATCGTATAACTGAAATGATCGGGACTACAACAGATAGAAAAATGACCCTGGTGGCCCAGAATTAGCCTGCGTCAAGCAACTACCAGGGCTTTCTGCCTCGGACAGAAAACTTATAACTCCACAGACTCCCACTCAGACGGTGGCTTACTGTACAAGTGTATCGAGTCCCTGGATAGGTGGTATTAGGAATGGCCCCCGGTATCCTGTGGATACAAGAGTTCTTCGTCACGACGATGGGGTAGCAAACACACCGACACCAGAATGACTCGGCGTTTGCATTACGGATACTAAGACCTATCGGCTCATGGATGCCAGATTACGAATCGAGATCTTCGGTACTTTTGTCTCGCTTGTCTGGCTCACTATGTAACAGATAGACACACACCAGTGGCATCGACCTGTGGTGTGTTGAAACCTCCATTAGCTGGATGTAACAAGTCAAATCCAGTAGATGCCTTTCACCAGATCGCCTGCTTTGCGGAATGGCGAAACCACTGTGCGTGCGTTGCGATTTTAAAAAGCTTAGCTTGGTTGAAAGATAGCTGTAAATACGCCTGTGTGTGTTATTGTCAATCTATATTGCAAAACCATTGTGACCGTTTTTGCTACGTCCAGCAGTAAACTTTGTACTCAGCTTTGTCCGTCATGGCTCCTCCAGCAGTATCAGCACTTTCTGTGCCACAGATTGATGTCCCGCCTAGAGCTCAGGCGCTCAAAACCCACTTGGAAACCGTCAGTGTCGACTGTCCAAGCCTGGGTAGCAAAGCCCTGGCTAATTGGTTGATGGAGGAAGGCAAGACCTTCTTCAGCCTTTGCCAAGCAGCATGGGCCTTGACTCTTCGAAGCTATACTGGCTCTGAGGATGTATGGTTCACTTGCTTAGGTCCCGAGAGGTGAAGTGTCCAGGGTAGTCAGTCTTCCTTTTGCTGATAGCTGACTTTTTCAAGGAACTACTATTGTGCTGTATCACCCACGCAACCTGTACGAAGCCTGTGGGACTTACAGGATGTTGAATCGATAGGTCTAAGCCGTACCACATTTTGGGGTGCTGTTTCCGTTATCATTCCACATGAAGACCATCGGAGGATGACAAATGAACTAGAAATGGTGAGGTTCCCAGAAAGAATCCGAGAAATCGCCTAGATTTACTGACACTTCACTCAAGTTCGACCTTGCCGTGTGCTTCTCCCAAAGACCTGAAACACATGTCCCCATCGTTGTGATTTACTACAAGTCGTCAGTAGTTCTTCCCACACTAGCTGAGATGGTCGCAGCTACAGTCGCCAAGGCAGTTGAGGAGATTGTTCTCCATATTGACTCTTCCATTGGAGACCTTGAGATCTGTAGTGATTGTGACATCAACCGACTTGCGAGATGGAACATTCTATCGGCTAAGGAAGACCCCAGCCCACAACCCATCCATCGTGTCATCTCTCAGACTTCTGTTCTTTAGCCCAAATCAATTGCTGTATCTGCTTGGGATGGGGATCTTACGTACCAAGAACTCGACCGCCTTGCGACAGGTCTCGCCATATGGATCCAACACCTTGGTATCGTCGGCCCTGAAGTCTTCGTCCCTCTTGTTTTTGAAAAGTCCAGATGGGCAGTTGTTGCTCAACTGGCTGTTCTGAAGGCTGGTGGTGCCTATTTTTTCATCAACCCGTCTCATCCCTTGCAGTATAGTCAGACTCTGAGCTCGCCATTGCATCCACTCGTGGCAGTGTGCTCATCGGCGCATAGTCATATTGCCAAGGAACTCGCTTGTCAAGCTATTGTGATTGGCGATGGGGTCCGTGAACTGTTGGAGTCTATACCTCTAGACAATGAGCCAGGATCGCCAACCGTCAGCGTCAGCACATCGAATGCTATGTACGTCACGTTTACTTCGGGAACAACAGGTAAACCGAAGGGCATCACTACGGAACACGCTGCATTTTACTGCATGGCTATGGCCAATGCCAAAGCCCTCAAGATTGATACTACGACAAAGATGCTGCAGTTCGCGTCATATTCTTTCGATGTCAGCAACCGCGATACTCTTGTTACCCTGATGTTTGGTGGCTGCGTCTGCATTCCATCTGAGGATGATCGATTGAACGACCTCTCTGGGTTCATGAAGCAGCATCAGGTCACCCTTGCTAGCCTTACCCCCTCTATGGCTAGTACTCTCAGTCCCTCTTCATGTCCTACGCTACGAGGATTGGTACTTGGAGGAGAGCCAATGACGGAAAGCCACGTCCTGACATGGGCAAAACACGTCAAGCTTTTCAATGCTTATGGAGTGAGTGAAAGCACTGGTATCGCAGCACTAGCATCAGAACTCAAACCAGGCTTCTCAGCAAGCAACATCGGCTATGGATGTGGCTCCAAATTATGGGTTGTCGCTGTCGATCAGCCCGACAAGTTAGCTCCCATCGGTGCTCTGGGTGAACTAGTCATCGAGGGCCCGTCTGTCTCTCGCGGTTACCTCGGCGATCAGGACCGGACGGACAAATATTTCACTTCACAGCCAGCATGGAAGAGAAGGATTCATGAGCAATACGGCCATCATCAGTCTGGCAAGCCAACTTTCCGTACAGGCGACCTGGTGCGATACAATCTTGATGGGTCATTGCAGCTGGCAGGAAGGCGGGATCATCAAGTCAAAGTCAACGGACAAAGACTTGAACTCAGCGCACTCGAACACCACATCTCAGCATGTCCACAAGTATCGAAAACAGGTTTCTCTTATGTTATTGCCGTTGCTGTCAAGGCAGGGAACAATGGCTCCAACAAGCTTGTTGGCTTTCTGGGACGCGATACGTCCAGGGAAACATTCACCCCGTCTCAACTGTTACTGGAGCAGCTGGAGGGTATCGATGACTTGAAATTAGACCTTCAAGGATACCTGCTTAATAACCTACCAGCATATATGGTCCCGTCCAACTTTGTCCTCCTTCAGAATATGCCACTCACAACTTCCAACAAACTCGATCGACTTCTCCTACAGGATACGGCGGCTCAAGCCCTATCCGTCATTCAGACTCGTTTCATCAATCAAGACTTGGCTGCTGGAGAAAGGCCTTCTACTACCAATGAGAAGGTCCTTGCCAGGACTTGGGGACGAATTCTGGGCATCAATGACTCGACAATCTCTCGCAATGACTGCTTTTTCCGAAAAGGCGGTGACTCAATGGCCACTATTTTACTCGCTGCCACCCTCCGACAAGAGGGCTTCAGTGTTCCGGTATCTGATATCTTCAAGACATCCGTCTTATCAGAGATGGCGCTAGTCATGGTTGAAATAACCCTGAGCTCTACTTTGGAGACACTAGCCCCGCTTTCACTGCTTGTCAATTCGGAGAAAACTATTGATTCTATTGCAAGGGCAACTGGTCTTTTAATTGACGAGATCGAGGATGTATACCCTTGTACGCACATGCAGCAAGGATTAATAGCATTGACTGCGCAAGACCCGCAGGCGTACATTGGTAGTTACATCTGGAACCTCGTTCCGGGACTGGATGTCAGCAAGGTAACATCTGCTTTGGAAGAAGTTTGGTATCATAACCCCATTCTTCGAACCCGGGTGGTGCAAACAACAGAAGGCCTCTACCAGGTCGTTATAAAAGCTGGACTGCCGTTGGAGCTTGTCTCCTCGGTCACAGGTTTCTCAGCCATTATTGACATCAATCATGGTCCTCTAGCCAGATTCTATCTGAACGACGAGTCGTTCCGTCTGGATATCCACCACTCCTTGTTTGATGAATGGTCTCTGGCCCTGACTCTGTCTCAAGTGGAGCGTTCGTATAAAGGAGGAGCACTCGACATGAAGCCATTCAACCCCTTCGTTCGTCATCTACTCCATCAGGACACTGCGATGACTGAGTCATTCTGGCGACAACTGTTCTCTGGCTTTGAGGCTAATCGTTTCCCTGTCACAGCCTCGAAGTCTGTAAACACTGCTAAAACCGTTGTGCTCCAACACGAGGTCCTTCTTGATGAAGGCAGGTCCACCAAGTATACACTTGCTACCATCGTCCGCCTTGCGTGGGCGATTGTCCTGTGGCGCCAGACAGGCTCTGATGATGTTGTTTTTGGTGCCACCGTGAGCGGTCGTAATGCCAATCTTGACGGCATCGATCAGATCAGTGGGCCTACAGTGGCCACTTTACCTGTTCGCATAAAATTGCAAATTGAGACATCTGTCAACAGGAGTCTTGCACAGGTCCAGAGTGAGTTCATTGAGATGATTCCATACGAGCAGACTGGGTTGTCACGAATCCGACAGTTTGGAGAGCAAGCTGCCGAAGCGTGTAACTTCCAGAATCTACTCATTGTGCAGCCACAAGAGCAGAAGAAGGATTCTTCATTATTCCAGTCCTCAACGTATGACAATGCCAAAGCATTTGCGAGCTATCCCCTCGCCTTGACTTGCCGGCCAGAAAAGGGCCGAGTGAAATTTACAGCGGCATTTGACTCTGACTTAATTACTCAGGAGGCTGGAGAGAGTCTTCTCAGGCAGTTAGCCCATGTTATGCGACAGATCACAGCGTTAGGGTCTATTGCCGTCAAGGACATCAGTACGGCACCTCTACAAGATATAGAAACGCTACGAGATTGGAATGGTGTTCTTCCCACATCTGATAGTACTTGCATTCACGACAGAATCCGGCAGCTATCTACGACCCAACCGAACGCACTTGCAGTCCACTCCAAGGATCTGGACTTGAAATACCAACAAGTGGAGAACTATTCCAATCACTTTGCTCTCCATCTCACCTCCAAAGGCGTCAAGCCAGGGGACTTTGTGCCATTCTTAGCAGAGAGATCACCTTGGGTGCCAGTGGTTATGTTGGCAATTCTCAAGACAGGTGCAGCTTTTGTCCTTCTCGACCTTTTGCATCCCATCAAGAGACTACGAACCATGTGTTCTATGGCCGACGCTAAGATTCTTGTTACTTTCGACCAGACTAGGCATATCGGCGAGAACCTTTCACTTCCCCTCTCGATCTTTGACCCCAGGGGATATATAGAAGGATACAACAGAGGATCTAAGCTTTCCTTGCCAACTGTCTCTCTGGAATTAGACTCTCCCGCCTGCGTTGTCTTCAGCTCTGGAAGTACGGGTATCCCCAAGGGCATTGTGCTTTCTCACGGTGCCATTACTACAAGCGCGACCGTCATGCGACAGCATGGCAATCTCACTCAAAACAGCCGCGTTTTCCATTTTGCCTCATTCGCGTTCGACATCAGCATTGGCGAGATCCTGTTTACACTTGCTGCTGGAGCCTGTCTCTGCGTACCGAGAGAAGGAGAACGACAAGGGAGCCCAGCAAAGGCAGCAGGAGATCTCAAAGCGACTTGGGCGCTCTTAACTCCGTCAGTCATCAACCTCTTTGATCCATCAGATGTGCCGACCATAGAGACTTTGGGCTCATGTGGTGAGCCTCTTACTTCACAGATCGTGGATATCTGGGCGCACAGAGTGAAACTCTTCGCCATGTATGCACCTGCAGAATGTACAGTCATTTCTCACATTGGTCGCATTTTACCTGATAGCCAAGCGTCTGATATTGGTCGCAGCTTTAGAGCTGCATCTTGGGTAGTCAACCCTACAGACCACGATAGGCTCGTCCCGATCGGTACAATCGGAGAACTAGTCGTTGAAGGACCTATCGTCTCAACGGGATACCTCAAGGACCGGAAAAGGACAGATCAGGTCTTTATCAGTAACCCCTCCTGGCTCTCAGAGATTCGTTCGAGCTGTGGAAGGATGTACAAGACGGGGGATCTTGTCAGGCAGACATCTGATGGTCACCTCCAGTTCATTGGTAGAAAGGATGACCAAGTGAAGCTTCACGGTCAGAGACTTGAGGTCGGTGAGGTTGAACATTGCTTGACCTCTGTTTGCAAGAACATTAAGGCCGCAGCAGTTGAATGTGTCAAGATCCCGGGTCAGAAACATCGCTCTGCATTAGTAGCCTTCCTGGCTTCCCATAGAAGACAGGATTGGGAACAGACTTCATGCGACAAAGCATCTATTGCTGGAGGGCTCGAGCTAATTGTTTCACCAAACCAGCAATTCTACTTCACCATTGAGATGCTAAACAATTCTTTACGCGAACTCCTGCCATCTTTTATGGTCCCATCTTACTTTATTCCCCTCATTGACGTCCCTCTTAGCCTGTCAGGGAAGGTCAATCGACGTCTCCTTCGCGACAACTTTGCAAGAAACATATCGAAGATTCTCGACCGATACCGATTGAGGACCAGCGCCACAGGCACGGAAGACGTCCCCAGAACTGCACATGATCGGGAAGTTCAAGAAGTTGTTGCGAAAGCTCTCAGTTTAAATACCGAATCGGTCTCAATGAACAGCAACTTCTTCAATCTAGGAGGTGACTCAATATCAGCAATGGCGGCATCCACACTTGCCAAACGTCGCGGTATTGATCTGACAGTTGCCACTATATTTTCACATCAGGTCTTGTCTAAAATTGCCTTGGCTTGCGCCCCAGTAACTCAAGGGGTATCAAACACTCTGGATCACGATTCTGAAAGCAAGAAGCAGCTAAGAAGCGGTTCCACCAGCGGCCGAATTCCTCTCGATGAACTCCCAAGCCACATACCACAAGAGGTAGTGGGCAATGTCATCGAGGCCAGCCCTGCGACCGAGTTCCAGGTGATGACACTTTACAACTTCTACAGTCGCTACCTATGGATCTCGCTGCCTGAGGGAGTCGATCAAGATCGTCTGGAGGCTGCTTGCCACGCCCTTGTTCAGAAGCATTCCATCTTGCGCACGGCCTTCTGTACAAGTGGAGACAAGTCCATCATCCAGTTGACTATGCGAGAAATGCCAGTCAGGTTGTTGCGTTACTCAGAGGTTGAAAACCTGGAGAAGCACTGTGCACATGACTCCCTCGCTATGGATGTACCTGTTGACGGTAAGCCTGGGTTGCAGATTCAGCTCTTGAAGTTGAGAGACTCCAGGCTGTTCCTAGCACTGAGAATGCCTCATGCCTTATTTGATGGGATGTCTTTGAATACCATCTGCGAGGATCTGAGTTCTGCATATACCGGACAAGAGATGTCGCCGTGTGCTCAGTTTTCAGACCACACAAGACATATCTGGGAGAAGAGAACCCCCGAGACCTATCAAGTATGGAGAGATGTGCTAGAGGATACTGCAGTTACTGTCATGAGTAGAGACCTCCTTCCTTTGTCGGCGAGAGACACTTTAGTAAGCGACAGGGAAAAGCCTCAAGGAGTGACTGCAACGTTGGAGACTGGACCAACCTCCCCACCTCCGACTTCAACCATGGCAACATTGGTGAAACTAGCATGGGCTATCACACTATCCAAACTCTTCGCACCTGACAGCAGCGAAGGTAGACTTGGTGATGTTGTTTTTGGCCAGGTCGTTCATGGCCGCGGCCTTGGAATATTGCATGAAGATCGCATCGTCGGTCCATGCCTTAACATCATCCCGGTACGAGTGCACTTCCCTCGGTCGCCCAACAGAGAAGCTTTACTCTCTCAAGTCCAACAGCAGCATATCCAGACGATGCCGGTACAAAATCTTGGACTTGGAGATATCACTCGCAACTGTACTTCCTGGGATTCTGGGACCAAGTTTGGTAGCTTTGTAAGGTTCCAAAACTTCACCAACAACGATGATCCAACCTGTGACTTTGATGGGCATACTTGCGAAACGGGGTTATATAGTCTGCCAAACCGCCCTTCGAACACCGCCAATGTCCTCGTGGTTCCCAAAGGTTCAGGATTAGCTATCACGATGACGCTGTCCAGTCAGGTGCTGGAACAAAAGGCGGCGGATTATGTGGTTGGGTATTTTGGTGACGTGATTAAGAGTTTATCAGGGCAGGAGAATGTTTGCAATTATCTTATATAGCTGCATGTCCCTAGAAGAACCTTTACATGATTGATAGATAGATTTTCCTTGATTCGCCGCTGAAAACATAGTATGAATACGTGCTAGCCTTTGACCTATGTGCATGTAACTGATAACTCGGCCTGCTTATAAAGGTATTTTGCAAAACTATAAGAGTGATTTCAGAAACTGTAATTCCCATACTCTTCGTTACTTATCGTGGAATTCCTTAGGGGTTAGGGTACTGAAATAAACTAACCTAAGTGCTGGCCTGAGCTTACCTAATATTACTAAATCTTCGTCTCTTGTACTGTTAGTGGCCTATCCCTCTAACATCTTAGCGGTGCTGTAAGGTAAATTCGGGATTGTAACTTTTTCTCCATTTGGGGGGTTTACCACCCCTGCTTTTGTGGTGTTTATTAGCACTAACTTCCTGCAGCAGGGGGTGAACTGATGAAGAAACGTGCAGCTCAACACTCGGGGTCCACATTCAGTGGACAAATCACTGAAATTCCTTAAGTTCACCATCCGTCCGTCTCCCACACTCCTTTGATCCATTCTATCCTGTTACGATCCTTTCGACGTTATGACTTCGCAGAAGTTTCGTGTCGCCATCCTCCAGAACTTCATACTTGAGGAGACTGGTGGTAAACCTATGATAGACAGAATTATACAACTCGTCCGCCAGTCGAAGCCTGATGCCGGAATTACTGTTTACGCTGCAATCCAAGGCGATGGACTCCCAGACATGGAAAGTCAGGACTTAATCATCTTGACCGGAGGCCCTTTCAACCTTTTGGAGAACGACAGGCCCAAATGGGTGGGCGAAACACTGAGGTACATCAAGACAGCTACAACGAACCGATCAAGCCCTAAGATCTTGGGGATTTGCTGGGGCCAGCAGGCGATTGCTTTAGCGCTGGGAGGTGCCCTGGACAAGTCACCTAGGGGGCAATGTGTAAGTTCTGACTAATGGAATGGAGTAAAGAAAAGGACAGCTGATTTTGACTTTCAGGCTGGCGTCGAAAAAATCCCAATATTACCACAAGGAACCGCGTTGTTCAAGACTAATTCACTGGTAGGTTGATGATCTGTTTGAAGTCTTGGCTAGTCTGATTGACATCCGAAGAATATCCATAAGAACCATGAAATTGTAGTAACCGATATTGGGCCCCACCTCTCTCCCTTGGCTCACAATCATGAGATCTTGATGTCAAAAACTGGTCAGGTCCTTACCTTCCAGGGGCACCCAGAAATGGATTTTTCATTGTCTAAGATGTTTCTGACTCTGGAAAGCTCAGCCAGGTTAAGCAGAAACCTGGACCATGGTCTCAAGTCTATTGACTCGCCTCACGACGGTGAATTTATTTTCAAAAAGGTTATGCAATGGGCTTCTGGAGACTTGAACCTGTAGCTAAATCACACCCATACCGGTAACTAGGTCTATAGTTAACTCTATTATATGTATAAGCTCAAGCCTAAGACGTCTAAGAACACTAAAAGCCAAGTTACGCTAGCACCAGAAACTCCTAGGCGTTACAAACTCGTGTAAACGCAAGAGTATCGATGTCCACCTGAATTCCAGTGAATTCCCCATAGCAGGATAGGCCAAACTGTAGTTCCGCCTGCGCAAGAGTGTCGTCAGAAGTACTAAATCTAACGCTACCTGACCTCCAGCCACCAACAGTGTCGTACATTTCAGCGTAACTGCTTAATGACCCAACCGTGAGCTGAATGTTGCAGGTGTAGTCGGCATTCTGGCTGACACTGACGACTCTGTAATGGTACGAAAATTCATAGTCACCATTCAGATTCTGCAGAGTCTGCTTGATGTAGTAATCGGGTACACCGTTGACAAATGTCGCGGAGCTGTTGACTTTGTGTTAGCAGTGGGCTGAAGAAGCGATTTCAATAAGAACGTACAGTGCGTTTCGGCCGGATTGGGGCTGGCTTTGGGTGAGGTGGGCGTTGCTGGTCCAAGGTGCAATATCGTCACCGATGCTGTCGTCAAAGTTTGGGTTCACAAACAACTGGGATTCGACACAGACTGCAGCCGCGGACGTGGTAGTAGGTTCGGCTTCGGCTGTAGTTGTAGTATCCTCCAGGGTTACAGTGGCGGTATCTATTAGGGCTGTAACAGTAGTCGAAGCGATTGATGTAGCCGATGTGTCAGCAGCAAGCGTTGAGGTAGTCTCAGTAACGCTTGCAACGGCGATCCTCGTCGGTCGACAGGGACCGGCTTCAGCGCCGAGAAGCAGCGTAACAAGAACTGCTAGATTGAAGGTGATAACACGAACCATGGCGTTAGATAACAAGTGAATATGAAAATGAGTGTCCACAGCTGCAGATATTACAGCTTAAGGTTTGGATGTAGACATTAAGACGTTACAAGAGGTAAGTCTAAGTTAAAGGTATTTAGTAAAGACATTCCCCCCTTTTACTAACCCAGCTTTTTTAAAATTAATATTAACTAGTTGCTTTTTACAGTACTGTCGCTAATAAATAACGGCTTAGTATAACGCTATTATTGATAATTCAGTACGCTATTGTCAATAGTTCAGTGTGATGTGGGGGGAAAGGTGGGGCGCGGCAATTGAAGCGAAAAAGGAAAAGGTGAAAAGCTGTGACCAGAAGAGAAAAGGCAAAGTAAAGAAAAAACAAATAAAAAAAGAGTTTCATTCCGTAGCCAGAGCTACAACAGTAGCAGCAGCAACATCAGAGCAGCTAGGGAAATGCTTGCAAGGGGTCAAAGACGACTGCTAAATATTCGCCCAACTAAACAACACGAAGAAAGCCCTTCTGGCCACTCTATACATAGAGACGGTTGAGGAACCGCCGTAACTGATATTCCTCCGGGTCTCAATTAAGATGAGCTTAAAGCCTGGCTTAAGTTTTATTGATCTACTAAATAAGACAGAAGCGGGGCACAAGCTCTCTGAAGTTAGCAATGGGACTGACCACTGGCCACAACGATGCTGGTGCTTCTTAGCAGAGGTTGGAGACTTTAGGACACTTATGCGTCTACAATTGGATGTCACAGATATCGCTAGCCATAGAATCCATATCTTCTTCTATACAGATAGGCGCAGCAGCGAGATAGCATCATCGGAGCTTCAGAAGGGATGTACTATCGCAGTGCTGTACGCAAAGCAATATGCATTTGCGTTTTCAGAACCAGGAGTTCGTGTAGAGAATTTCTTACTAATCAAGATAGTGCCTTGGTTACAATGTAATAGCACCCTAGTAACGATTCCCTCTAGACCTTTCTACTATCGTTAGATGACTTGCTAACCTTTAGAGATCGAACCCAGACGTTCTCAGCAGAGATAGATAAAACGAAAATTTGCCACAGGTATAGAATACAAGCTGCATCTCTAATAAAGTAGGCAAAGTGCTACCTGCTCTGATATTGTAACGGGGTAAGATAATATTCTTCTGTTACTTGTATTATACGCAGATACTAATCAGAACTATACCAAGCTCTGCCAGAGAACTGGGTGGATTAAGAAGAACTACAAAGCAGACTGCAAGCTTTATTGTAGTTTCGTAATATTACTTACACAGGGAAGCTACCAGGGCGTCAATGTCTAGGGGATTACCCTATATAACGCGTACTATCGTTAACTAGGTCGACTTTATTTGAGTTGCTCTTTCTTTCTAGCTCGTTTCTTAGAACGGAGACGACGTTCTTGGTCAGTATTTATCTCCTCAATGTCCGTGAACAGAGCGGACATGTTCGTCAAGTCCGGCATTAGTGTCAATACAAACAGACAGCGCGAACACCTGTATCGCGGAGTACAGTGTTTTCGAAAGACATGCTCCCTTAGAGATAGTTAGCAGCTTATCCAGTGTCAGCTACAGCAAAGAAGGGGACCAAGTTTAATCCCTGGAATTAAGCACAGCCCCTACAACGTGTCTTTCCATACCTATTTAGATCGTGTTTAAAAAGAAGTAATAAGAAAAAGTGTAATTATTATCCTTGGTATTCCTAATGTTTGTATTCTGGGCTGTCTGCGTTGTAGATGTAAAGCGATGGCTTAGATCAAAGACGACGGTAAATCACGAGAAGATCTACTAAACGAGGTCGACATAGACCCTCGCCGGAATAAGCATAAAATACCATAACTGTTACTAATAGTATTTAGGCTAGCAACAGTTAGCAGCTGCCTCTAACCTTTAAGACTCGAAGCTTCTCTATTATCCTATTTAGGTAAGTTATATCTGATCTAGAGTAGTTAGAGAACCTTACCATACTTTACTTTACTTTAACTGCTGTAGCTTAGCAGACCAGAGTATTACAAAGCGCCTTAACAATTAACCTGTTTACTTTAATAAGGTTAAGAAAGTTATAAAAGATTAGGAAATAAACTTAATATCTATATAGTTGTACTATTTCATATAATATATTAGCAAAGGTTTTACTTAAGAGGGAACAGTCTTAATAGTTTAAAGTAAATCCTTATAAAGACTACCTTAGGATTAACCTTACTATATATTCTTTTAGCTTCTAAAGCTCTAATATTACAATCCAACTAGTAGATTAGTTACCTTATATATAGCCCTATACTTTTACTAATTACTATAATATATTTAATAAGTAA